AACCTTCCCTTTTGCTTCTCTTCCCCACATTATGCTGAAGGTAAGCTAAGACTGAAAATAGGCAATGCTACAAGTCCCTGAAGATGGTTTATCATTGCATGTTCAAAACATCTCTTAGGTGTTGGTCCCCTCATCCAGACTGTAGGATGGCTTGATTAGTATCTCACTACTTCACTAAATTTGCAATGAAGGAAATAATAGTGGTAATTTCTTGGTATCTGATCCAGTCTTGTGGCAGGGAAGGTAGATGACAGCTGTGTTTATGAACTACTATCCATTTGAGCCCTGTTTTCCCTGAATTTGGAATTAACAGAGCCAGATAAAGACCCTGAGAAGTACAAACGTAGGAATTTAGGTGTGTCAGGAACTAAGATGGTCTAGCATACACACCTGCACATGCTGAATTGGAGAAAAGACCTATTTTCATTCACATTTTTTTAATTCCAGATCTCAAATTGTCTGATTTTTTCTCTGCCAGTATCATCTTCATCCTGTTGGGTTTTGTACTTCTGACAGAATCTGGCTTTATCATACATATAACTTTTAGAAATCCAATTCCTCACCCTTCTTTTCATGCTATTTTTCTCTCTTCTCCCTGTTGATCAGCTGAGTAATGAAGTTCCATCATGGGTTCTGGTGATTTTGAGACCTGAGTTCTCATGTCTTGAGGCAGACACTGGCATAGCTAGTTTGATACCTCCCTGCTACACAGCTTGGTGGCTTCTTGGTGCCTACTGCACTATTAGTCAGCTGGAGCTTCTTCTGGCCACAGCGATTTCATGACTGTGGTTTACTGCAAGAGTCATAAAAGCATGGATGTCTCGTCTAAGAGCTCATTCTAAAGGAAAAGTTGCAGTCATGTGATAACACAAAACCAAATAATAGCTACCTATACCTCAGTTGCAATCTTTATGCTTTAAACCTTAGCACTCATCTCCCCCTGATCCATACCTTTTCTCTGGACTGTGGAGCTGGAGAACTCACCTACACTTCCATAACAAGGATTGAACAGCCTAGGCTCTGTGTGTACTCAAATTATAGCCTCAGTTCTCCATTAGTGTGCATTTCTATCACCTTCACTACTTACATATTGAATGTCTGCTAAATAGGTTGTTCTAGGAAAGAAGAAGAAAGGCTCATATTTACTTAGTGTAATAAGAAAATAGAAGAGGAGCAGAAAATTGAGAGCTGCCAGAAAATCTACCCAGCATTTTGCAGCTGAGGGGGTTTGCATTTAAGAGCCAAGCTATTAGACCACATCAGATCTTCTAATTAGCCAACATCAGTCAGGGAGAGACATTTCTTGGGTGAAGCCAAACAGCAGCTACAGTGTCTGTGCTGTTTCATATCAGTGAGTAACCCATCAGTGTGAGGGTCTGGGAGGACAGTTTCAAAGAAGAAGATCCTACACCGCAAGCTGTGCAGACTATGGAGGAGATGGGGTAAGAGACAGAGATCATTAGAGGAAAAACATGACGAAGGAAAGCTGGGGGGCAATGGGAATCAGTTTGATTTAGAAGTGCAGAGACAATAAAGTAGCCAGGCAAAATTTTAGTCTCAGAAGCATCTTATTGGTATGGAGAAAGGCTCCTTTTGATCTCTGATGTATAATTGCTGGTTAAGGACACACTGAACTATTACAGAGAAATTGGGCAGAAAGATTTCAGCAGCCATATAATGAGGAACATGAGATCAGGATGAGATTTGGGAAAGTTGAAGATGAAGGCAGAAGATAGTTTTGGAGCTAGAAGAAAAGAGCATTAGAAAAGAGAGTCAAATTTGAAATTGGGACCCTACTTTGATCTTATAGGCAGAATAGGTGTAATCTCTCAGAGCTGAAACTGGAGATAATGTTCTGCTTGTCAGGACAGTGCATTTGAGATAAGGTGAAAAAAAGAACAGGTTTCACTATGGACAGTTAGTGAACACAGATGAATTTCCTGTTTTCAACCTACTTTTAGGACATCCTTTGGCATATGTTTCCAGCACAAGGCCAACTCTCCAGGCTGGCACACATATGAAAGCAAAGCCTGACCTGTTCCCACAGGATCTGCTGTCACCTGTGCATTTTACGAGGGCTTCTGGAGCCTTTCCCTACTCATGCTGCACAGTGAAACTCTTTGCCAGGGAGCTGTGAACAAATTTGCCTGTGTGGGCACACACAGGAACACTGCAAAAGTATCTTCAGTGCAAAGAGGCTTGGGTAGGCTAGTGACAACTTTTGCCACAGAGAGGATGTGTTACAACCTCAAGTGAAAGCAACTTCCATATTTAGGTCTGGATCTCAGGGTAGGTAAATGTCACCTCATATAAAATAAAAGAAAACCCAAACAACAATATGTGTAAGACAGTTTCCTTTTTTTCAGTGAACAGTGAATGAAGGACAATTTTGTCACCTGAGGACAAGCCTCGTTCATCTCTCCAGAGAAGGGAAACCCTCACGAGAACATAAACCTCAGTAGGGGAGCCAGGGAGCCATAAGGGTTGGCAATTATTGCCAAGTGTTTGTTGCAGAGGCTATGGTAGCAATGTGTAACATTGCTGGGAAGATTTTAATCTGAAAATCTTCTTGGAGGCAAACAGAAAGAAGAACAAAGCCCTGAGGTCAGCTCCATATCCCACTTCAGGGCCAGCAGACGTCTCTACTACACCTCTATTTTAAAATCATAGAATTCTTGGTGTTTGAGAAGGCCTTCACGATCATGAAGTTTAACCATTAACCCAGCATCACCGTATTCCACACTAAACCATGTTCCCAAACATCCAAACATTTTTTGAACACTTCCAGGAGTGGTTGCTCAACCACTTCCCTCAGCAGTTCCACTGTTCACAGTTCACTCTTCCAATGTTTGTCCATACTTTCAAATTTTTTTCTTATATCCAATCTATGCCTCCTCTAGTGTGACTTGAGGCCATTTCCTCTTCTATCACTGGTTGCCTGGGAGAACAGGCCAACCCCCACCTGGCTACAGCCTTCTTTCAGGGAGTTGTGGGGTGTGATGAGGTCACCCCTGAGCCTCCTTTTCTCCAGGCTAAACAACCCCATCCCCCTCAGCCATTCCTCACAGGACTTGAGGGTCAAGGAGCTCCTTCACAGCTCTGTTGCACTTCTCTGGACAGGCCCCAGCCCCTCACTGTCCTTCCTGTGGTGAGAAGCCCAAAAGTGGACACAGGACTCGAGGTGCGGCATCACCAGTATGGAGGGACTGCCACTGCCCGGATCCCGCTGGCAGCCGCGCTATTGCTGATCCAGGCTAGGATGCCGCGGCCTTCGTGGCCACCGGGGCATTTTCAGGGCATGTCCCAGCCACTGCTCCCTCCTGAAGCGGCGGGACCGAGGAAGTGAAAGGGCTCCCGGGGCCGGGCCGCGGCTGCCTCTGCCTTCGCCTTCCCCGGCGAGGCCGCGGCGGCCGGGGCGCAGCCGGCAGCTGCTCGGGGCCGGTTTCCATGGAGACGGCGGGGGAGCCCTGGCGGAGGGGACATGGCTGCGGGGACCTGCGGGGAAAGCCCTGGCAGAGGGGACATGGCCGCGGGGACGTGCGGGGGGAGCCCTGGCGGAGGGGACATGGCTGCGGGGACGTGGGGGGGGAACCCTGGCAGAGGGGACATGGCTGCGGGGACGTGCGGGGGAAGCCCTGGCAGAGGGGACGTGGCTGCGGGGACGTGCGGAGGGAGCCCTGGCAGAGGGGACATGTCTGCGGGGACGTGCGGGAGGAGCCCTGGCGGAGGGGACATGGCTGCGGGGACGTGCGGGGGGAGCCCTGGCGGAGGGGACATGGCTGCGGGGACCTGCGGGGGGAGCCCTGGCGGCGAGGGGCTGCAGCCTTAACCCTTCGCCAGAGGCTTCCCCGCGGGCCCCGAGGGCGGTGCAGGGAGCCTGGGGCGCTGGGGCGGCTCCGGCTCTGGCTGGCACAGCTCGGCGGACGCAGCCCGTAATGCAGGGCAGTGACAGGATGGGAGGAAGGGGAGGATGAAGAGCGAATGGGGGGTCTGCTGTGCCGGGCTGTCCCTTCCGTGGACGCCTGGCCAAGCGACTGCTCAACACAGCCGTCCTCCGCGGAGATCCCCCGCAGCAGGCTTAGGGAAGGTACCAGCCATTCTCCCCGTTAAATATTTAGCAGTTTAACCCAGCCGCATCCTCTGGTGGGGGCGCCGATGGTGCCCGTGGTCACGCTCCAGTGTTGGACTACAGGGTGCGGGAAGGTGGTGGCGGAGCTTGGAGCGGCGAGCAAAGCCCCAGCAGGGCTGCTCAGGCCAAGTGCCTGTGTGTGAGTACACGGGCCTGGGCTGCACACGGGAGAGAGTTGTGTAGTGCAGGGTGGTGGTTACCTACTGAAAAGTGCTTGTCACCATGGTGACCAAGCAATGCCGCATCTTCCTGGGAGTGGAAAGGAACAGTCCCAGAGCTTTGCTGTGTGAGACCAGTGGGTTCAATGCAGCTGGCTTCACCTTTTGAAGCCAGGGATCATAATCTGTGTTCAATCTGTATATATGCCTATGATGCAAATTGGTTGGAATCAGCCTGATGCCAGCCCAGTGACTATATGTATACAAGAAGGACACCAGGAATGTGTGCTCGTGTCCACTGCAGGCTGTGTCTTCCTAAAAGAACTGTACAAAAGTGTTCACAGCAGCCCAGAGTGCACCAGGGCACGAGGGTAGAGGTCGCAAAGGTATTTTCTGTCTGGTACATTGAATAGTAAACTCAGTTTTATCTGAAGATTAAGATGTGTTGGTGTCATTGGGACTGGGACTCACCAAGTTTTAACTAAGGGCCTTCAGGACCACAAAATATTGAAATTTATGTTTTAGGTAGTTATAAATGCATCCAGTGAGTATTTTCATATCAGTTCAACATAAATATGTTGAATTTTAAGCCAAAAGTATCTGATGGAACTTTATTGGTTGGAGGTTAGTGGTTTTTTCATTTGTTTGTGAGGCATTCAAATAGCACTTCTAGATGTCCATCTTCAGACGTACCAAGAGCTTTCCTGGTCTGGATTCATCCTTATCGGAGTGTCCTTAGGATCATGGAGAATGAAGTTTGGCTGATGGTAGGGGCCGATTCCTGAAGCATTCAGGGAGAATTTTTTTGCAGATGAGAGGGACTTTTGAGTCTGCAACTGCTTGCACTTCAGAAGAAAATGCCCATTAGGAGGTGAAAAACACCACTCATGTCTGAGCTCCTCACAGTGTGTCCAGCTGGGTAAGGCAGTGCTGTGCCATGGGCACTTGAGCATGCCCCAAATGAGCTGGGGGGTGTGTGTGTATCCAGGCAGAGGCATGATCCTCAGAAGAAAATTGGCCATATTAGCATAGGGTGACATTGAGGTTAATCTCCTCCATTTCTGAGCAGAATTTGCTGGGTCTCCAAGCATGTGTGGTTATATTGTTTCCAGCTCTGTAGTTATTTGGGACACTACTGCCCATGACCAGCTCTAGGAAAAGTAGAGCTGGTCCAGGAAAAGTAGCTGCATGAGGTGCTGAAGCACCACCAACCCTGCTGTCGGCTCTGCCAAAGGTGTCTTGGCAACACCCCTAATAAAAGGGCTGTGTTGGTTACAACAACATTTATGGCTGAGGCTAATGGTCTCTCAGAAACATCCTTTTTGCTTTTATTTCCTTACTTCTAGGGTCTTGAGAGATACAATTCCAGTTCCTTTCTGCCTTCTTTCCCAATCCCTTTTCTTTCTTTTTCCTCATCCATCACAGGAATAGTGCAGTGGAAATCTCCACATCAAAACTGAAGTTTGCCTTCACTCCTCAGAATCCACCAGCCACCTCTGACACTGCCTTGGGGGATCTCTGCTTGGTGTAACCACATCTTTTGAGATCACTCAGCTCAGGTATGTTTGCTGTAGCTAAACCTGGCAGAAAGCCCTGTTCCCTGTCACCCTTCCTCCCTTCCCCTACCCCTTCCCAGGACACTGAGGGAAAGGCAGCCACAGCAAAATTACCTGGCTGCTTTTCAGAGGAATGTATCCCATAGCAGTGAGGCAGTGGCCTCAACCACTCAGTATAATTAAACTCAAGCATCATTTTTGTGTAGCCTGTGCCGTGGCAACCGCAGCAGTTATTCCCATTCAGCTGGAAGGTTTAGAAGGCAGAGCCGTGGTATTTCACAAAACATCTTCCTTGCAGGCAGGGCCTTAAATCATTTCATTGAATGAAATATGCTTAAGAAGTGAAGAGTACCAGAAGGGGGAAAAAATACGCAGGGTAGGACCACACTATTTCTGGCTGTAGTTCCATAACAGTTCTTGAGGCAGCACCTGATATACTGTTAGGGTGGAAAAGGTTTTTTATACCTAATTCTTTGGCACCCTGATAGCATCTCTGTTTTTTTCTCTCATTCTCTCTTGGGTTCCCTGGAGAGGCAATATATTGTCTTCTCTCTAGTTAAAGAGAGTGGAGGCTAATTGCATAGACAGGTCACTCTGTTTCTGCTGAAGGTGAAAAGCAAAGGGCTTGCTAATTCATGCACACAGACAGAAGGATATAGCAGTGTACTGTCAGCCATTCCAGGGACCATCAGTAAGGCAGGGTGAAGCAGCTTGGCACAGTGCACACAGTACTTGCCAGAGCAAACCTCTGGGGCAGGGTAGCAGAAAGAGAAATGCTGATAAAGAAAAGCCAGTCAGAAGAGAAGGGCAAAGCATAATAAAAGACAGGGGATCAGATTGCTTGGTTGTGATACATGAACCTAAATTCTTTTAGCATGGGGAAGGAAATTGTGTGGCCACAGTACTTTTGCATCCTAGCTATTCTGGACTCAACACACTCAATATACAAGCCAGCTAGTGGAATTGCCAAGGATAGAACAGCAAGAACAACCTGGGTTGTGCCAAAGGGACTGTGAGATCCCTTGCTGCTCAGAATGGGCTCTATGTATTTTATGCTGGAGGTCCTGAGACAGACAGCCAGAACCTAGGTCATGATTTGCTGAAAGAAGCAGCAGAACTGGAGAGACTAGAGTTGGAGCTCCTGCAGTGCAGGCTTGGACTTCTTCAGGGCTTATGGTTTGAGTACTGCTGTCAATGAATGCAAAGGAAATTTGGCAATCATCTTCAGCTAGTGCAGGAGAATGTCACGTGAGTCTTACATGTTGCTTTCCAACAAGAGATCTCATATCTGTATCACTAATGATAGTTTTTTGTCTTAGGAAACAGATACCTGGAGAAGGCAAGTGAAGTTGTCCAAAATTGCCTGGTAAACTGGTAGTAAAACAAATAGGAAACCTGCTGCTTCACACTGCCAAACTGAGTTCACTTGTCACACACAGGGGAATGAAACATAAGGCTGCTGTCTTCCTCTCAGTCCTTCTGAGCTAAAGGAGAAAGCTCTCTCTGAGGCTGTGGATACTGAGGTGTCCTATGCCAGGATGGCAGATGCCTGCGCTGTGTGGGTCCCATGCCCTGTGAGGATCATTGTCCAGACAACATGTCTCACTTTGCAACTGGTCTGAAGTATTCCTTCCTCACATGGAATGGCAAATGGTGGGGAGGTAACTAGATTGATCTCCCTTGTAGGCCTTTTCTTGGGACATGGTACACAGGTTCCAGATGGTACAAAGCCCCTGCTGGTTGGATCTGCACAAAAACCTGTGTCTTCTTCAACCTATTTCACAACAGATTTGGCTCGCTCTTGGTTGGTTGCTATTTGTACAAATTAAGCTGAGCTGCCAGGAACGTTTGCAAACAGTGAAAAGCAAAGTGGGATGTATAAAGCAAGTCAAAATAGGTCTCAAATCTGGCAAAATGCCTGCAGGTGCTTATAACATTTGACTTACTCTAGCCCATGTATTACCCACCCACACAGTCATTCATCCAGCTTTTTCCTGCCCTCACACCCACACACACTCACCCATCGCAAATTCATTCACCTTCTCTTCTCCCTCCCCATTTTCTCTTCCAAACACAGTCATTCCCACACACAAATATACCCTAGACACACTCTTTGTTCCCCACATACAAGCACACACACATTTTTGAGTGCTGAGTGCAGTGACTGTAGGTGGTGTGTAGCAGACGATGCTGTAATCTTATACCTATGCTGTGAAGAAGCCTTTGGGATTAGCGAGCTGAGAGCTCTGATTGTTCTCACTTTCACGTAAAATACCACTAATCCAGTTTATGGGGCTGACTGTTTCCATCCTTTCCTGAACTGTGCCATTGTTTTCCAGGGGATCTCTCTTTCTGCTCATCTTCCTCTTGCTCCACTTTGCCTCTTTCTCCCTATGCTTTTCCTTTTCCACGTTGCTGCCCTAGACCACGGTGTTTCAGAGACCTTGCCCATCCCCGTATCTCTCCATGACCTAACACTGGCCCTGATTACCTCACTGAGAGGATGAGCAGGGATGAGCAATGAGCCTGCCATGCAGCGTGGGGCACAGGGCAAGAAATCCTGCAAGGTATGGTGAGGTCAGAGGCAGAGACGGTAAGTGGTGGGGTGGATCTTGCTGCCATCCGAGCAGCGCTGAGTACGCCTGGCATTGAGCCTGCCTCTAATGGAATGTGACCCACCGCTGGGAATGAGCTCATCTGTAATCCACTTAATTGAGTTTTATGAGCAGGATTCTCACACTGGGGAGCCAGCCTGCCTTCTTCCTAGCACTCACCCTTCTTTGCTTGCTGCCTGGGGAGGAGAAAGGGAGTGGGGGGTGTGTCCACTACTCCACTGAGCTCGTGATAGTCTGGCTTCTGATTTTCTGCCTGCCCTGGAGAATGTGCAGGGAGCTGGACAGGCATGCTGTTCAAGACACCCACTGCTTCATGGTGTAATGTTTGCTTCTGCTGTAGGATGCTCAAATGTCCATGTGACTATTGGTAATGCTGTCAGGACTGCAGAGCCTTAAGTTTTCCCAGCATTTTGGTTTCTGTGCAAGCGCTGGGTACTCAGAGGAGATGCATGAACCACCTTAACTGTGAGTCCAAGTGTGATGGGACAGAGTCACTCTGATCTCGCTCCTCCTTTCAGTGTGCAGTAATCTAAGTAGTGGAACTGTCAGGATTCTGTAAGAGCCTTTGTTTACGCTGTAATGTCTTGCCATCTTTAGCATTTGCATCATTTGTTTGCACTATGTGAATTGGTCACATAAGAATCAGCTAAGAGAAATTTGTCTGCTGTCTGCCAAGGGATTTGCAGGCTTGAGTCTGTCTGGTGAAAGATGCAGACTTTTCTCTTGGTAAAGCAGAACAAAGGGAGAAAGAAAAAGTAAGGGAGGGAGGCTTCTCCCCCAGGAGTGTTCCTTTCCTTGGAAAAGCCTAGTAGAGATCCTCTGGCATACAAAGTTTGGGATATATTCCCTTCAGTGCTGGCATAAATGTCTGTATTTGAAATACATACTGTCTGTCACTTCTGGTCTACTTTGTAGAAGAAAACTTTTCATGGTTTCACATCAAGTGTTGCATACACATTGCAAAGCAGTAGCTCAGCAGCTCCACAAATCCGTAACTATAAAGAAAGGTCATGGCATATGGAAAGGGAAGTGTACTGACATGTTAACACAAAGCTTGTAACAGACCTGTGCTGAGAACAGCAGGGTCACCTCTCTATATTCAGGTGTTTCTTAAAATCCCCAGACAGTGGATTCATGTAAATACATGATAATAAAAGATCTTATTTTTGTAAATGTGTGCTTTTCGTCTTCACAGTTGCAGACAATACTGAAGAATTGGACCAGAAGAAATCTGAGGATTCAAAATGCAAGGAGAAAATAAAAAGAATCTATACGGATTCTTCCATATGTGGGGTTTTTTTGTTGGTTGGTTTTATTAGGATTTTCTTTGTTTGTTTTTTGTTTATTTGTTTGTTTGTTTTGAATGTGCTTTAAACCAATCTGACATGACTTTCTATTGATATCCCGATGCTGAGCTGCTATAATGACTGTTCAGGATGGTTCATTGTCACTGTATTGCAGATGAAGTGCCTGTTTTCTTCCCTTCTGCTTTCTGAATTCAGGATTCCCTCATTTATAAAACCATAGAATTATAGAATAGTTTATGTTGGAAGAGACCTTTAAAGGTCATCTTGTGCAATGAGTAGGGACATCTTCAACTAGACCAGTCTATTCAGAACCCAGTTCACTCTGAACTTGGATATGAGTTCACCTTGAACTCACCCTGAACCTTGGATATTTCCAGGGATAAGGTATCTACCACCTTTCTGGGCAACCTGTTCCACTATTTCACCACCCTCACAGTTAAAAATTTCTTCCTTGTATCTAGTCTACCATCATGTATTTTAAACCCACTACCCCTTGTCCTGTCACAACAAGCCCTGCTTAAAATTCTGTCCCCATTTTCTTCTAAGTCCTCTTCTGGTATTGAGACACCTCATTAAGGTCCTCCTTCAGCCATCGCTTCTCTAGACTGAGTAGCCCCAACTCTCTCAGTCTTTCCTCATAGGAGAAGCGTTTCAGTCCGTGGATTGTTTTTGTTACCATCCTCTAGATCTGCTCCATCAGGTCCATTTTTTTCCTACGCTGTGGACCCCATAGCTGGATACAGTGCTTCAGGTGGGATCTCATGAGAGCAGACCAGGGGAGTAGAATCCCCTCCCTTGATTTGCTGGTCATGCTGCTTTTGAAGCAGCCCAGGATGTTCTTGGCTCTCTGGGCTGAAAGCACACCGTGTTGGCTCAGGTCCAGCCTCTGATTCACCGGTACCTCCTTCTCGGCAGAGATGCTCTCAATCCCTTCATTCCCTAATCTGTATTGATAATGGGTTGCCCTGACCCAGGTGCTGGATGATGTATGTGCCTTTGTTGAACCTCATGAGGTTCAAATGGGCCTACTTCTCAAGCTAGTCCAGGTCCTCTGGATGGCATCTCATCTTTCAGGCATGTC